ATACCAAAAATTTCCAAGCTCAATTATGGCAACTCCTTTTGTAAAAGAATCAAAACGACACCAGCCACTAGGTTAGTTATTGTATATTGAGTCTGCTATGATCCATTAATGAATTATTCTTTCCATTTTCAATAGAAATCCATGATTTTCATAAGATACTTACTTTACTAGAGAGGCATGGATTTTCTAGTCACAGATATTATGATCTTGGTCTTTATCTGGGTCTGCATTCTCATACACTTCATGATATTCGAAATAATTGCAGAGAAGATGGTGATAGATGTCTAAGAGAGTGCTTGATAGCATGGTTGCAACAAAGAGATGATGTAATGACAGGTGGTCAAACTTATGATGCACTAATACAAGTATTGAGGGAGATGGAAGAGAATGCTGTAGCTGATGGGATTGAAAGATATAGTAAGGAATAATATTTATTATTTATTTTAATTTGGAGGGAGTTATTGACGGTTGTGGCACTTTATTTTTGATCTGCAATTAAAATCACGGAATCATTCATCATTCACTAGGCCTGATGTTATGTTGACGCTGGAATAGAATTTGGTTCTATTCTAGTGGAAAACATGCATCAAAAGGTCAAATCACGTACACTTTTGATTGACTGCTGTATCCTGGCCAAGCATCATAATTGTAAACCTTAATTACCACTTTGCCTCATTTACCTCATAAGCATCATTTCTGTAAAGAAGGCCTAGCTGTCAAGGACTTAGCAGGGTAAAAGTTAAAAAGTTAGGAAAGAAGTACATGTATCTCAATGTAATAAACGACATGGCAGAAGAGGGAAGCCATAATTACAACCAGTTGGTAGTACATAAAACCAACATATATATGTTATTATGTCTAAAACAGAAGGAACTTATCTCAAAGTTTAGCAAAGAGAGAGCTTGCTAGCTGGAGGCAGGAAGCTTAACACAAAATGGCATTGCACTTTTTAACAGTCCAGTTCACAACAATTTACTGGCACTTTCACCCAATTAAATGATGAATTACTTAAAAGCAAACCACAAAATATAGACCCAAAAAATAATACACCCTACGGTATAATGGTATCACCCTAAAATTTTAATTTCCCAAATTTAAATTTGTGAAATTAAATAAGTTCATGTCCATTTGCAATGAACACTGGATAGGTTACAGTGTAAGACTCCCAGCCAAAGAGAATGAAGAATTTGAAAAAGAAGACTAAGATAGTAGAGATAAAGTGCTATAGTTTATTAGTTTGTGAAGAGAGCTTGAATGGTTCCTGAAATGAGATTTTTAGTGCTCAAAACTTAACTGCACTTCATCACTACTTTCTTCAATCATTTTCTAATTTTTTATTTCTTTACAAATCTGTGACACAGGCTAGAAAATATACCATAGGGTGCCTTTTTTCGAGAGCTGTAAATTTCACGGATTTTGCAATTTTTTGAAGATTCATGAAAATTATACATGTACTTCCGCAAAAATCAAATTAATATGGTACAAGATGGCAGACGGCATAAATTCACAAAAATTAAATCCACAAAATAAAAATCCGCAAAATCTAGAGCCCTCAAAAAAAGGTCCCCTACGATATACAGCAGTCAGTAAAAAGTCTGTGTGGTTTATTATACCGTATAGGGGTTATATTTCACTGGAAATAAATTTGGCGAATTTTGCGTTTTCATTAAATTTGCAAAATTAAATTCCACAAAAGAGGTGTGGCACACTAGTAAATATGGCTGCAGAAGGTAGAATTCGTGAAAATTTATACCAACAAATGGCAAATCTGGACAAATTCGTGAAATTTTATACCAACAAAATAAAACCCCTATATGGTAGTTGATGAAAGGTTAATATTTTATATATGTAAATATGATTTTTTTAAATATTAATATTATATTGTGTTTACATTAAAATTTAGTTAGAGTAATTGACAGTCCACCTAAAGAGAGACACACAGTGCAACCCGGTGAATTAGGTAAATAAATTAATAAATAGCATACATGTACATGTACTATATAAGCACCTTTTCTAAATACATGTACATGTAAACACCCATCACCAATGTTTTCATAGTGCATATTTGAAGTGTCCCTGATTTCTAGGATGGTTAGATACTACTTGCATTAATTGTGCTTAACTCTTGCTTATATGTATACATTTGAAGTTGGAAATAATTTTTTTATCTACATGAAACTAAATTTTTAATTCTTTATCAAATAAATACTTAGGCTCTTATTCAAGGAGAAATACAGTACTTTAATCTAGACTGTATGTACATGTACATACATGATGCTTCAGAATATCTTTTGTCCACTATAGGAATCCAGGATCTTGTAGAAATACTTGATTTACTGAAGGAGCATGGATATTCTGGTGTCAGATATTATGACCTTGGTCTTTATCTGGGACTGACTCATCATACACTTCATGATATTCAAAATGAGTACTATGGAGATTTTGATAGATGTCTAGCAGAGTGCTTGGAGGCATGGTTGAAACGAAAAGATAATGTAGATAGTGTCGGTGGTCCAACTTATGATACATTAATACAAGCATTGAGGAAGATGGGAGAGAATGCTGTAGCTGATGGGATTGAAAGAGATTTACGAGGTAAGGGTTTTATATGATACATATTTTATTCATGAGTTTTGTCTGTATTGAAGCAATAACAAAATAGCAACCAACCTGCCCATGTCCTTTATGTAAAGTGGGTGTGGCCATGGCAAACAAATTACCAAAATGGTGGCTTACACGTTAGAAAAGTTCTGAGCTTTTCAATAGCAAGAAAAAGGTCTCTATGTACATGTATGATTATCAGAATGAGAATATGTGGTTGCATGGGATGTGTTTGTCTTGAATTATAAAAAGTATTTATACTACTGTTATCATAGTCACTCCCTCAGTAGCTACAAATAGCCCACCACTGATAATCCTGTCCCTCCCTTTGGCTTGATTCAATAATATTTTTTTACTTTCATTATTGCAGGACATATTGTACCACCCACTGCTAACCCTATTAGTACTAAAGACACTCCAGCTGCTGACAGAATACCAGACACTCAAAATCCACCCACAGAAAGTATGTATTATTAGGGCCAGGAGGCCATGGCCCCCAATAAAATTCTTAACAATTGCTTTTAAAAATCTATTTGATATTTAAAAACTTCTAATATGCATGCCACCATCATGCAACACTTGTGGAATTTCCCTGCCCTCCATTGTTTTATTCTCATGTATAAAAAATTGTGCAGGATTTAGAACATATTCACAAAACCACACAAATTAATTCCTCACTAACTTTTTCAGCCATACAGTAATAATAATTATTATTACACACAGCTGTATAATATAAGGCCATAATAAATAAGCTTTGATCTTTTCATTTATGTATCATTTGGTTTACATTGATCACAACGTATCACTTCATATCGATCCACCTCAGATGAAATGCTAATTGATTGATGCCCATTAATTTGCCCTAGTGTGAACACTATATGCACATTAATGATTATAATCTCATATAATAGTGTTACTTTATTTAGGAAAAATAGAAGAATGGCTGAAAGAAGGTGAAGTTGAGCTAGAAATCACTCGTATCAATATGCATGGTGCACCTGGAGCTGGTAAAACG